GCAGAATTCGGTAATCATATTCTCTTATGGTGTCCATTTGCTCAGAGATTGTGGAGATTCGCTTATGGTCCTCTGGGATTGGATTGGGTCATAACAGGATTTGTAAAAGAGGAGTTATGTGCTTGGAGTGCTATTCACAGGGATGAGAGAGTGAGACTCATTCTGCTGGCTACTTTCTAGGTGATGTGGAAAGAGAGGAATCGAAGGGCGTTCGATGGCGTTGAATCTAACTTTGACAACTGAGTTTTTTGTTAAGGGGTCATCCCTTGTATTCTAGCGAGGATTTTGGGGACCTTATAAATGTTTTGATTGATTTGTAAAATATTGTATATGGGTTGCATGCTGTTGCTGCCAGTGAATATATACACTTTTTATTTAAAAAATGATAAACGATGTAAGAATAACTTTTTTGAAATAAATAAAAGATGTAAGGATGACACAGTGGGAAAGATATTAACCTATAGGAAGCACAACATGCTGAAAAGCAAAAATATAATCGTTATCCCCAATTCCTCCCCGACTCCACGGAACATTCACACAGTACCCTTCGGCACCTTTTGTACCAACCTACATAAATGAAGACACATTAATGAGGAATACCAGAAAACCATAGACACTGCTTGTCCACATATAAACCAATCTGAAAAGATCTAGCAAAATCACCAATGACAGAGGGCATATATGGAATGCAGTTGCATATTGCATACCAGTACCAACTAAAATTAGTTAATAAGAAATAAATCACAACTAAATAACATGTGGAGTAAAGGTAGGTATACTTCTGATACTGATAGTGTGACATGCTTGCATACTGACCAATAATACAGATCCATATATCCCAAGTATCAATTTCGGTCTAATAGAGGGTTGAACAAACATCAGTTGACAAAACCATGTTAATATTTTTCATCTTAAAGCTTCCCACATATATATTTACAGATGAAATTAAATCTGCTCTTGGCCACATAGAGAAGGCTGTACTTACAGACAGTATACAACCCTGACAGTCATTCATTGGAAACACATGATCTTTCAGGAGCGCAGCCACAACCATCAGTGCCTTTTATAATTATACTTCCAGGATAATTAACTTAGATGCCCCTGACCATGCAACTAACTTTGCATTACCAATAATATGGTAAAAAGACCTTGTAGCAGCTGCAAGAGCATTTCTACTGGCATCTAGAAATGTTTATGTGCTTAACTAAATTATAGTTTTTATTTGTCTACATTTACTGTCCATCGCATTGCTAGTAACAAGCTCTCCCTTATTAACACCAAAAAGAAACTTGTGTGAAACATCAATTTTGGTCCAGTCTATTTTAACTTTTTCAATAATTGCATTAAATATATAGAGGTACCAAAACGGGGGCTCATCCATATCTTAGTTTTCCATTTTTTAATTTGCTGTTATGTTGCAATATTCAGTTAATTAACGAAAAAACTTGAAGAATAAATTTGTGTCATGTATCCTGATGAAAGAAGACCATACAAAGAGACAAATACACATCTTTGAAGCCAATCATCTACAGCTCTAAGGCAGAGAAACAAGAACTGGCACATTGACCAAGTTAAGTTGGCTAAAAGCATCAGCTCATTCAATTACTAAAAAAAGGACAGAATTAATCAACTACCTCATCAACAGCTCCAGTACCAGGATAGAACCTTCCATGCTCATGTCTATGCAAGGATATATACAACACCTACGTATGTATATCCATATCAGTGCTAAAGATTTGGAACTGGTCCATAAACAACATATTCTCTGACCATAATGCAACAAAGCAAACCAACAAATAACATATTTTCTGACAAAAATGCAAGAAAGAGGGAAGGATATACTTAATGCATAATTAAAATGCTAATATTTCTTCTTTATACAATTCATGACTTGATTTAAGACACCCAAAAATATTTTGCCAAGCAGTTATCACATCAAATGCTTAGCATTTCTAGTTGTCACAGTGCATAGCAACGGGTCTCAGTTTCTCTTTCAAATGCCAATTATAGTAAAAACACATCCATAGCCATTCCATCATCTCCTATGAAACATCTCGCAGAAATGGGTAATCATCAGTGGCCACTTTGTTCATTTCCCATTCATTTTTTAATCAATCGCTCATTTTTATTTCCATATTAGTCTTGATATACATAAATGCAACATAATTTCTCGTGTTTAAGTTATCCCACCCCACCTTTAATTCCTTGATGTTGGAACTTCAGCTCCTACTTCTCAGATTGGAATTTGAATTCCCACCTCAAGGATCTCAATGGGAAGTGAGGTAACAAACACAAAATATTGTAATTACACATATAAAGACTAATATGAAAACCAAAGCTATAAATTAATGACAAGTGAACCAGTGAGTCCTAGAAATTCATGCACATAAGAAATCAATAATGCATTCGCTCACCGATTTGTTCTGCTCAAAAATTTCTTGAGTGCCATTTCCATGATGAACATCCTGCAATAACAAAAGAAGAAGAGATATATGATCTTAAAGCACTGCAAAGATATGTGCATCACTATGGCACAGATACCAATCATCCTCTGTACAGTTGCGCAGACAAGTGTAAGCACCAAGAGATGTGAATGAAAACATACCCAATCAACAATGAGCACCTTCTTTGCCCCAGCAATCTGAGCTGCTAATGCCGCAATTGCTGCATTATTGTGGAGGCAAAAACCCATAGCTTGTCTGACACCAGCATGATGACCAGGCGGCCGTACCTGATTATTCCAATTGTAAACACCAACATCAAAGGAGAAAAGAAGAAAATGAAAATCATATCCATAAAAAATACCCTGTTACTCTGAAAAATTGTAAGCATGCTAATTTCCCTTTTTTTTATTAAAAAAAAGTCATTACCAAAGCAAAACCATTTTTGGCACGTCCTGAGAAAATTTCTGAAGCAAGCTCAGCACACAAGCCCGCTGCAAGTCTAGCAGCACGTGCTGAATGCTCATTAGCATATGTGTCAGGAGTGAAATAGCTGCCAATTGAAAGTAACCAATCAAACATAATCTACAATCGCAAATTAAGATCCAGCAACTTAGACTAATAAGTTCTTCAGAGTTGTTGTGCCTAGTTGGTAAGTTGAGATTTGACCCTGCCTCCAAATTGAATTAAAACAAACAGGAACAAAACTTCTATTTTAACATACATATGAAAGCAGTTGGTATCATACAGAAGCATCAAAATTACGTTTGGTTCATTCGCACCTTGCAAGTAAATGCAACAACAGATGACCACTTCCAGTAGAGAACTAAACCCCTCTAGCCACAAAGGAACTAGTGAAATTAGTAAGATACTTCATACATAAAGATCTAGTTCTGTCTTCAGATTCTCGTTTCTTCTCATGATGAGATATAGAATGTATAATTTTCATCTTCATTAATTCTTTTACCTTTCCTCTTTCTCTTTCTGTTCATGTCTCCTACTATTTGACTGGAAAGAAGCAATCTCGACAACAAGAGACTAGAATCCATTACTGTGACAACGAATCTCTTAAGATGGTTGTATGCACTAGTGACAAGATCCTCAGGACCCTCCTCACTATTAACCATCCAGGCTCCCCCTTCCCCATTCCCTGCTCGGTGGCTTTGCCTTCTAAAATTCCTAGCCCTTCAAATCTACCAAAATGTCTGAAAAAGAAACACCATATAAGGCCTCTGCAAAAGTTCTGCTACTTTAGTCCATAGTGATGGGTGATGGCATGGGTGAATAAAACTTCCAGCTCCCCACCCCACAAAAAAGCATAATGCTCTGGAAGAATTTCCCTTAATAATACTG